ATAGACATATCTATAATGAACTATTAGACGAGTGTACAACTGGCTACATGTGTAACTTTTCTATATTACCTATTTAAAAAGTCTGCCCAAGGGTTCCCCACCAGTTGCCATACCTAACACCCCTGCTTAGATGTTCCATTTAAACTCTCTGATCTAACCCTAGTATTAATTTCACCAGATCACAAACTCGGATTTATTCGCATTCGACCATAGGACTATAATCCTTAAACTATTTTTATTCTTGAGGTAAACCTACCAGAGTGAGCTGTATTCCCTTTTACCGCTAACCTGGTTTGATGCTATGACCAGAGCCAACACTTGCAGTCAGGGTTACCCCTTAAACTGCTATTACTTTTGTAAAGTTCACCCAAACTCTGGTACCTATTTTTCTGACTTCTTCTCTATTATCCTCTACTAGCCGCAACTCAGAATCAACAACAGACTTCCCCAGACTCCCAATTTAGATAGCCTGATATGCTATACTTATGTATCTTTTTCCTTCAGCAATTCTGATGGCCTGGTTGGTCATATGCTTCTCTACACATCTTTGTCATCCGGTTTATCCAACAGTTTCTATAAAGATATTTCATGGGCTTCCGTTAGTCCAATGGCACCATTGAAAGTTTGTGCTACCTCTTTACTTGAGATTTCCAAGTGAGTTTCTGTTTCTTCAGTTTCTTAGCCTTCTACGCCCGGTGGTCTTATTGTGAGTTTGCCCGAAGTCTTATATGATACCAGTTTTACATTCCTCTATGTACATGTACCATGTAACATTACACTTAGCATAGATGCCCCAAGCTTTCAATGTCAGGTGGGGCCCGACTTGGTATACCTAAGATTACAGATGCCCAAAATCCAACCAATCGGCAAGAGACAGTTACCATAACACAGATATAATTTCCAAAATTCGTTATCTGTGGGAATTGAACCTTAGACCTGCCACTTGAGAGTTGACAACCTATCCACTTCACTAGGTCGCTACACCTCTTTTAATATTAATTGTTATCAACTAAATAAGTTCAGAATATTTAAAAACTTCTAACTATTATATTTAAAAAATTCTATTCTAATTTAAAATGAATTTTAGATTTAGAGATTCTATTTAAATGTATCTAATTCACTAAAAAAAAAAGAAAAAAAAATTAAGAATATCAATAGATTTAAATTCAAACTATTAAGATTACCAAACACAGCATATTATGCTTGCTAGCAAACTTCAAACAGATCCCAAACCTAAAAAAAAGAATTGGTATTTATAAAAATTAAATCAAAAAAATATTTTCAAAATTTTGCAGATATAGTATATAACTATTAAAATATTTAAATAAAGGTTAATTTGGCCAAAAATTTAATTTGGTTACAGACAATCTAAACTATCGTAATTTGGAATTTGAACATAAACAAACTTTGAAATTTGGCTAGCAAGTATAAGTATAATCAAAGATTTAACTCTCTAGTAAACATAAAAAAACAAATTCAAGAATACTATTTTCAATTCAAAAAAAGTTGTTCTACTCTTTTGTAGAATCTGGCAAGCTGGTAAATTCTTGATTTGATTAATATTAATCAGAATTTGGTATCTTTATTATGATGATTATGTTCCAAATATGTATGAACAGCAACAGCCTTCTTAATTAAATTATAGAGGTCTTTAGGAATCTTGAGAACTAAACCTTAAAAAAATTAATCAAGTATTATTAGTATAACTGCTCAAATAGTTTTTTTTTAAAAAAATAAAAAAAATAAAAATATAAAAATAAAAAATTAGAACAATTGCTAACTGTTACTATAAGACTTCAAGATTCAGAGAATTTTATTTACAGTAATTTTTTAACTAGCTCAATATTATACAAGTTCCAAAGACACAAGCTAATTTGTAAAGATATTAGACTCTTTTTTGCAAATTCAAGAATTCATTCACAAATTTCTTGAGGTATAACTTTCATTCATAATGATATATATTAATATAAAGAAATAGTATTGGCAGTACTTTTACTAAGAACATATATGAGACATATTCTTTCTTAACTACTTCTCTCTAAAAAAAAAGTTAAAGTACTATTACTTCTGAAAAAAAAAGATTTAAGCATAGAATATGTTTAAATTTCTCAATCTATATATATTACCTTTTAGAATTGTGCTTATAATTCAAAGGTTACATTATGCATCACAATTTATAGAATTATCACATCCTATCAAATAGATAGAAAAATTTTGTCAGAAACTCTATTACAATCTAAATGGTATTTCTGCTTATAGTATTTTCAAAGGTTGCAGATTATTTTACCCATATAACTAAGTTAATAAAATCTTTGCCAATATTTAGAAAATTAAATAATCCATTGGAAAAAATCTAATCATATTTTGTAACTTTAATTTAGAATTTTTTAGAGCAATTATTAACGTAATTTTTTTCGCAGGTCTGATTGAACTAAAAAATATAAATTAAAATAATAAATAAATAAATTGTAAATTAAGTTAAAAAAAAAAATTATAAATAAATTAAAAACAAAATATAATATAACCTTGATGTAATGAAGGCATTAGACTATTAGTTTTAAATTAAAAATTCAGTATATCTATAGTTTTGTCTTATTGTAGCATATTTTTTAAAAATAAAAATAAATAGTGAATAATAATAATAAAAATAGAACCAAATAACAAAAGCATATATATTTATTAATAGATAACTTCAGTAATTGCAAAATAAAAAAAAATATTTTTTTTTTAGTCTTACAACTTACAGATTTTTAGAAAAAAATTTTTTTAAGAAAAAAAAAAGAAAAAAATTGACTGATTCCTAGATCAGATGATGATTATATTTATTAATTAAAGTAAATTATTTATATCAAAATCTCTGTCTCTATATATAATTTTTTTAGTTATACTTGAAGACTTATCAAGCTCTAATTTGGATGATAAAGTCATGAGATTTTTGACTTCTAAACTTGTTGAATTTTCTTTAACTAAGTTATCTGATTCTTCTGAAAACTCTTCTGTATCTTCTTTTATTATAAGTTCTTCTAAAAAAGAAAATGAATCTTTTTTACTAAATAAATCAGTATTGTCTTTTATAAATATTGCAATTTTGTTGAATACTGATAAGAAATTCTTTTGGCAAATATTTAGATCGATATAATTAAGTTTTAATTTGGCATTCTCAACTAAATATGAATGCATCTGTGCCATAATCTCTAGATGTTCAACACTTAATCTAAAAACATAATTTGTAGTTAGTTAGTTATAACTATGATTAAGCTAAAATAAATTGTAATCTTTTAGCAAAAATTTTAATTTTTTTTTTAATAAATTATTTTTTGGATTAGTCATAGCAGAAAAATATCAAGATCTCATAATATTTTATAGCCTATCTAAATTAGTAAGCAAGTAATAATAACTTAAATTTATATATTAAATATAATGTGATCTTGACATTTTCTAAATTAAACAAGAAATTCCAAATAAGAACTTACCTAGTTTGCCTTTTTCCAAAATACCATTCTAGTATGCTAAAAACATGCTTACAGGCAGCATTATGAGAGAAAATAGAATGTATTTTTAAAGCATGATGTTTAATACAATCTTTATTTCTTTTAAGATCTATGAACATTTACCAATTAGTAACTATATTAGTGGATTCGACAAATTTATTATTGAAAGGATGCTTTCTGTTCTTGTACAAACTTATTTGAGTTTTTAAAAGATCTGCACTTATTTGACCACTACCAAATAGTTTTCATATTTTTAACACTTTTTTAAGAACATAGTTTTTATATATACTGGGTTCAAGAAAATCATATGTATAAAAATAAAAAAAATAAATAATATAAAATAAAAATAATGTAAAATTTATGCATTTAAAATATGTTAGTTTAAAGTACCACAGTAAGCTAATATAAAAAAAATAATAAAAGTTATAAGTCTGTATTAAATTCTTTTTATCACTTGTTATAAATAGTAATACAATTATGCTGAAACTGGTTATTGTATAAAATGGAAGTTTCTTGAATTAAAATTGTCATTTTTACTAATTCAATAAATACATCTACCAACAAAGTGGTTCAAAACTTTAATTTTTTATAGCCTGTTTTACCAGGCCAAAAATATTTTGCAATTGCTCTACATCAATCCAAAATTGACAATTAGTAATTAGATTTTTTACTGCATTTGCATGATCAAAAATTTGAGGTTCTTGTTCTAAAACCTATTATAAAAAAATTAATTTAAAAAATATTGTTAAAATATATAACATAACATGCTTGTATAAGTATAAAAGAATTAAGTAATATAATTGTATAAAAAGATTAAAGTAGAAATGCAATAAAAGAAGTTTCACAGAAAGAAAACCTTTGCAAATCTCAAATAATATTTGAATCAAAAATTTAATTAAAATAATTACTGATCTAATATTCACTTTATTGCATAAAACAGATTTACAAGAATCTCATACTATTGATTATTAGGTTTTAGTAGTTGACTTTAAATTTCTACCAACAGTAAAAGAGAATGTAATTGTCTCTCTAATACAGCTTTAGCAATATAAGAATTCCTAAAGAAACTTATAATTTTTTGACAGTATAAAGAATATTTCAGACATGAGATAAATAACAGATACTACTAGAGATTAATTATATATGATGTGCAATACATTTAATAGATAAAATATATGAATATTTCATTGCAACCTGTTGTTTTGCTACTGTCATTGCTGTTTCTGTATCAAAAACTATTGCAACAAATTTTTTAGGCCTAATGTTTTTCAATACCTTCAGCATTTTTTTAGCATTAAAATTTGCTGTATGAGAAAACATTAAAAAATTATATAAAGTATAAATATATTACTTCCTTTCATCCATCATTATCACAAAAGCATATATGTTATACTTCATTAGATTGCACCAACTGTCTATACATAATATAAGATTTTTAGATTTTGATAGCTCCTTTTCTATTTTTAGTATGTTATTTGCTGCTTCTATTTCTAGAATTAATATTGCCAATATAGATCACTTAGGTGAATTATATTCAAGGTTTAATGTCTTAATAAAATCCTCAAAATAAAAAGAATCAAAAGCTGAAAATGAAATATCAGAACACATAATCTATTTGATTAGTGATTTATTGGCTCTTATTTCTTTATTTTTATCAATAGCTTCTTTTGTATTATAGTAAAAATCCAGAGGTAACATAGAAGAGTTTGATTTTCTTTTTTTTAAAATAGGTGTTTTAGTTAGCATTTGCTCGTTTTCACTTTGAATTTTCCAAAGTATCTTCATTTGAATTTCATTTGAAACTTTTTCTTTGCACTTTATTGCAAGGTGAATTTTTATTTTGTGGGCTCTTTCTTAAGACCATAATGTAGGACAGTACCTACAATATGCTTTTTTATGTTTTCTTTTATTATTATTTATTATATTATAATCATTCCAAATATCTTATTGAGGTTGTCTTTAATCATTTGATGATGCAATATTTCAGTCAATACAAATTTTGTTTCACTACTTAAAATAGAATTATTTGAAATTTCATCAATGTCAATATCTTTATTGCTTGTAGCATGTTTCATTATTTAAAATTTTGTTTTATATATATATAAAAAAAAAAAAAAAAAAAAAAGAATATGTATACTTATTGTTTTTTTTAAAAAAAAATAATTGAAACTTTCATGAAAAAATAATATTCACTAGTGCACCTACTTATTTGAAATACTAAAAACCAGAAAACTTTTTTAAAAAAAATTCAATACTATGAAAAAGAAGATTACTGTAATTTGTAGCAAATAGCAGAGGCCTGTGTTGGGTCCTGCAGCCTGGCCCACAAATTTTTGTAGGCTAGGCCAGGCCTGAAGCAAAATTTTATAATTGCAGGCTGGGCTGGGCCAAAAAATTTGCAAAATTTTATAATTGTGGGCCAGTGAAGGCCTAAAAATTTGTAAAATTATATAAGAAATTTTTGCAGGTTGGGCCAAGCTGAAGAAAAAATTTGACATATGCAGACTGGGCTGGGTTGGCAAAAAAATAGTAACTCTAAATGCAGGCCGGGCCAGGCCTAAAAAAAATTTTTAACCCTAATTGTGGGCCAGGCCAGGCCTCAAAAATAGACAATTTGCAGGCCTCTAGCAAATAGTACTTTCTTGTTAGTATACCTTCTACTATTTGTACCAGAGATTAATCAAGTATATGCCACGAACATGATTGTAAAAAATCTGGGTATATCTAAAATATATATTGATTGGTTAAAATTTTTGAGGCTCTGATTGGTTCTAATTAATTTTGCCTTGAGTAAGTATACTTTATATTTTGTTATTATAATAAATTATTCATTGATTTAAATATATATTAATAAAAAGATTAAATATAAGCTTCCAAACTCTATTTAAAAAATACTATATTTTTGACATTTGGAAAATAGTATTATAGTGCACTATGTTTACTATATGCTTTATATCACATTATTGTCTAGACATTGCCCAAATAAGAAAATGTATAATAAAAATTAAGAAAAACCTAATACTAGCATAAGCAATATTAATCTTATGGTTTAGCAAAAAAATTTTATATTATTTGATTTGTCTCAATAAAACGAATCAAATAGTACTAAAATTTTCAATTTTGATTAGTGTATTGCTATTAAAAAACACAATATCTATCAGCATCACAATATCTACATGCATTATAATATCAAACTTACCCTTATGTTTTATTCATTATATAAAAATTAAAATTAATAAAATATTATATTTTTTTCAATTTAAAACAAGTATATATATTTGAATGCCTTTATTAGACTTAAATTTCTAAAAAAAATTTTTTTAAAAAAAAATAATAATTTTTTTTTTTTTTAAAAAAAAAAATCATTATGTTGGTCTTTAGACCATCTAAAATGTGTTGAAGGTTTTTAAAATCAGGAGTTGAAATAGTTCTTTACTTTCAAATCATTATAATGCTTATTAAAATTTTTATTGCCAAAATCTGAAATAAAATCATTTTTAGGAGATTAACTAGAGTTTTTTCATTATTACAACTTCTTATCAATTCATTTAACCCTTTACAGTTTCTATTTAATTCACTAAACCTTTCATGATTTTCATTAAAATTTTCATAATTTTCATTCTTACCAAAAATATATGATGTAGAACTGTTTGTTTTTAGAAAATTATAATCAAAGATTTGTATGTCTTTAGAACCATTACGAATATTTGAAATCCTACAACACTTAAACACATGTCTAATAAGTATTGAATCGATGTTATTTCAAGCTTTTTGAACCTATTATGCAATAACATTGTAAGCAGGCTTCTGAATTCATCCTGTTAGTGTTAGCTTCTTAACTTCTTCATTCATCCATTTACTATAAAATCTACAAATCTGTATATATATTAAATAATCAATACTCAAGTTGTAAAAAAAAAAAAAATCTATATGAATTCTATAGCTGATAATTATTTTTTTGATAATTCTCTAATTTTCTCAATAAATAAATATCTGTGAATAAAGATGTAACCACAATGTTGTAATTGGTCATAATTATAATGAATTATAGCATTTGTTGTAATTTATTATAATTATGATCAATTAAGACATTGTGATCATATCACTATTAGTAAATTTATCTTGTTTTTAAATAATTTATTTATAGCAACATCCAATGGTTGCAATTGAGAAGTTAATCTATCAGGAATTACTGCCAAGTCAGTTTTTTTTTCTTTAAATTATTTTTTAACTAAATCCTCAAGATGACCATGAAATGAATTAAATACTAACAAAGAATGTAGATCTACAAAATGAGGTACATGGTGATTTCACACATTCTCAATTCAAAATAACATTTCGTCAATGTTTATCCAACCTTTTTGATTAGTTCTAATTTTACTCCTATTGGAAATTCAAGCTGTGGCATATTTTTAAGTTTAAAAAGAATTAGTAGAGATAATTTAGAACCATCTGATATACAACCAAGAACAACTATAAAATTTAATTTTTCATATTCACAGATTCTAATACTAATACTGCGAGCTTTAGTTTTATCAATTGTAAAGTTGTTTGGCAAGTCAAATAAGAGCAGTGTTTCATTCATATTGCCAATTAGATTTATTATGTTTTATTCATTAAAAAAGAATATAACTTAAAAATTCTTGTTGCTTTTTATCATAGTCTTCAAGTAAATGTTATAAGACAATAATGCAGTGTTGATTACTCAAATTATAGCAATTTATAAACCTGTTTAACTATTTATAGCTTTATTGAAAAGTTAAAATATCTGAATATAGTAATAAAAACCTTTGTATTTGTGCCAAAGTTTTCACTTTAACTTGGACCATATTGCATGTAACAACTTTAAGTTCAGCTTATAATGTATATATCTAATTATTCAATTCAACTTCTAGTTCAGAATACTTTGGGTGAGGGCCAATATTTAGCTGGCAGATATATGAACATGCAAGCATCAACTCATTTTTTTTTGAACACCAATCATAAAACTGCTTTGGTTCAATTTCAAATAAAAGTGAAGTTTTATGAATACTTGGCTGAGTTTTTTCTTGGTAGGTTATTGCAGCAAGTTTCTTGTATGCATTCTAGATACACTGTTTTTTTTTGTGTAATTGTTAAATATGCAATATTGGATTAAACTCTTGTCATGTTTTAATGTGTAAAAAAAAATATAACTTTTTTTAAAAAAAAAATTTGTGTTCAAGTATTTTTGCATTTACTTAAATGATTAGCTAACCTTATTGCATTTAAAGTATCTCTTTATATAAACTCCTCTATATAAAATACCTTCTACTTGACAAAGTACCCACTAGGTACTAATTAAAATTTTATGCCTAGAAATGTAAGAGACTTAGGATACTATTTGCCACAAATTACGGTAATATAATATGACTGAGTAAATTTTTACTTTAAAAAATACAATATTTTAGAACATTTTAATAGTTAAAAGAATGTTGCATCTGAAGCCTAAAATTTTAATTTTTTAATATCAATATGATAGTATTTAGAGTTAGAATTCATAATAAAAGAGTATAACTAAATTTTAGTAGAGTTTATATTTATATATATACTTGCTAGCAAAATGGCAAAACCTGGACAAATTCAAAAAAACAATTGCTATTTATAAAAAATTGAATCAAAAAAAATAGTCTTGAAATATTGCTAATATATTATATATAATTATAAGAATATATATATGATGCATATTTGTTTGAATAAAGATTATTAATAAAATTTTTAAGATATAAGTTTGGGATTTGGATGTAGACAAACTAATTTTATATATAATAATTTAAAATTTTGCTAACAAGTATATTTATATATCAAAACTTTTTTTTTTTTTAATATTAATAATGAGACCATGCCTCTATCTTTATTGAATATTAATTTAAAATTTTTATATAAAACATAAATTTACTTTTAAAAATATTATAAAAAGAATAGAAACTCAGACTAGTTTATCTGCAACCTAAACTAATATATATCAAAACTCTTATTATTATCATTAATAACTTATTAATATAATTTAAAGTATTATGCATAGTGATTGCAGATTTTTAATGAAAATATCTCTATAGATTAGCCTAATTATCAAATAATTGTTATAAATCTTTGTGATTTTATATGCATGCATGTTTATACAATTATATAATTATAATAGCTGAACAGATTAAAGATAATGATAATAAATATTTGGCATTTAAAATTTAGGACAAACAGAATTTGTGATTTGTCTAGTTGAGATTTGAAATAAGATTTAGAGTTTGTCTAAGTTTGAGATTTGGGATTTGAGATAGAATTTGGGATTTGTCCTAAATTTGAGATTTGGAATAGGATTTGGGATTTGTCTAAGTTTGGAATTTGGAATAAGATTTAAAATTTGGAATAGGATTTAGAATTTGGCTAGAATTTGAGATTTGGGATTTGGAATTGAGATTTGTACAGTTTTGTTATATAAGATATTTAAAATTAACTAGACAATTTTATTTGTTTATAAACAAATCTCAAATCCTAAAAGCTTGTCTAGCAAGTATAAATATAATTTTAAAAATAAAAAAAAGATAATATAATTGCACAAAAAAGTAATAGCACTAAGTAAGCTACTACAAAAGGTCAAGAAACTAGTAAGAGAAGAGTAAACTAAATCAAGCTTAGAAAAATTAATATAAAAATAGATAAAATAAATTATAGTATAGAAATAAATTATATAGAAGAAGATAAAATAGCAAAATTTAAAAAATGGTAATAGCTAACAAAAAAGCAATGACAAATGCTAAAAGTAGTTGAAAAAGTTGAAGAAGACAAGTATACAAAAGATGAAATCAATACTGCAATACATAGAAGATGTGAAAGAATTAATAAAGAAGTAGAAAGAATGCTTACTAGTATTCTAGATAAACCTTGTAACAAAATCAGAATTGACTAAGTATTAAAACGGAAATAAGATAAACTCATTTTAGTTAGTGAACTAAATGTAATGTTGAAGCAGACAAAAGAACATTTTAGTAAGCAGTTCAAATAAAGAGATATTACTAAAGATAAAAAATAATAAAAAAGTTTTATAAGCTATTTGCAG